CTCCTGGTTTTGGATCATGTTTTTTTTTTTTAATACATATCTAATAATGTTTGAAGAAGCCCTGTTGGTCCAGTAGTTAAGCACTCAGCTGCTAACCATAAAGTCAGGAGTTCAAACCCCAGCCATTCTGTGGGAGAAAAATGTGGTAGTCTGCTCCCACAAAGATTTACAGCCTTAGAAACCCTATGGGGCAGTTCTACTGTGTCCTGTAGGATTGCTATGAGTTGGAATCAACATGATGGCAATGGGAATAATGTTTGATTGCATGCTGGCCCGTTGTGAATGCTAGATTTTTGAGGGCTGAATATTTGTTTTAAAGTGTTTCAAGACTTGTTTTTGAACTTTATTAGGACAAGATTGGAGAGCCTTTAGGGCTGGTTTAGGTTTAGCCATACTACAAATTCAGGAATCTTCTACGATATCTACTGAATGTCCTCAGTGTTCAACAGTGTCTCTCTACTCTGCCTGGTTGGAACTCAACACCTCAGCACTGTGTGAACTGTGGGAATTGATGAACTTACAGCCCCCTCATCTTTTCCTGCCCAGTAAGTGCAGATTCACCATGTGTAAGTGTGGTCTGGCATTCTGCACAGACTCAAGGTGACCCCTCTGCTGATTGCAGGAGCTTGTTTTGTGAGTAGCTCCCTCCTTCCCTCCTGAGAACTCTGCAGAATTTGCACCTGAAAACTCCAGGTGTGTTAGTCTCCCCAAACTCCCATCTCTGATTCCTTAACTCAGCTAGACCAATGTGCTCTGCTTGGCATCTCCATCCCGGCACCACGGTCCAGAAAGCACACGCGAGCCCAGAACGTTAGGATGATTCAGGACTTGTTTCATTTCTTTCTCTTCTCTCTGGGATCACTGTCATGGGCTGCTGGTATGAAATGTTGGGAAACTGTCGTTTCATTTGTTTTGTCCATTTTTGTAGTTATTGAGGCCAGAGGGTCCGTCGCCCCAGTGAATGCATCATGCCCAGCAGTGAAGTTCCACTGCGTGTCTTGAATCTGTGGTTTGGTCCCCATCAGTTTGGGGGCCTTTGTGCCCATTATTTTACAATGATGCTGTCTCATTCTCTCTCTCCCCTTATTGTGGGAAACCAAATACACGTATATTAGATCTTTTGACTCTATCCCACGAGCCTCTAATTCTCTGTTCTGTTTCTGTTCTAACTCACTTGTAACTCTGTGTTTTAGTCTGAGTAATTTCTAATGACCCGTCTTCCCCTTCACTGTCTACCTGACGCCATGTCCAATCTGCTTTTAATCAACCTAATGAAGTTAATTTGCAGTTCTAGAATGTCCGTTTGATTCTTTATGTATAGAGTCCAATCCTCTGTGAAATTGTCCATATGTCTGTCTATTTTATACTTTCTTTCCTCTGTTTTTATTAACACATTAATCACAGTTATTTTAAAATACTTGCCTGCTTGCAAAACTCGAATTCTAGTAAAAAGACCAGACTTAATGGTCTGACTGAGATTGAAGGAACCCCAGAAAGCATGGCCCCCGGACTCTCTGTCAGGCCAGAACTAAAACAATTTCCAGGGCCAACTCTTCAGACAAAGATTAGACAGGAGTGTGGGATATAAAATGATACTCGTGAAGAGTGTGCTTCTTAGCTCAAATAGACACATGAGACTAAATGGGTGGCTACTGTCCGGAGGTGAGATGAGAAGGCAGAGAGGGTTAGGAGCTGGTTGAATGGACACGGGAAATCGAGGTGGAAAGGAGGAGTGTGTTGTCACAGTATAGGGAGAGCAATTAGGGTCACATAACAATGTGTGTATAAATTTTTGTATAAGAGACTAACCTGAAATGTAAACTTTCACTTAAACTACAACAATAAACAAACAAACAAAAAAGGTTAAAATACTTACCTGCTGACACCCATCTCTGTATGTTTTACGGTTCTACTTCTATTGTCTGTATTCTCTTCTGATTACGGCTCACATTTCTTTGGGTCTTCACATGTCTACAGCTGTACTTTGCCCTGGGTTCTACAAACATTAGAGGAGGGCCTGCTCCAGACACACAAAGATGAGCTGAGACACAGGTGTGAGCATGCACATGTGCAAGCACATGCATGTATACACACACACACGCATGTGCGCCCGAGGAGGGATTATTGTCAGAGAGTGGAAAGAGCTCTGGATTTGAATCAGAGCAGGGCAGATTCAGGTCCTGGGCCAGGCATCACCATACTGGGTCACATTGGACAAATTTCCCACCTTGTCTGAACCCCAATTTCCTCATCTGTAAAATAAACCCTGATGACCACCTTGCCATCCTCACACTCTGGCCTCGGCATCTCTGAGCAAGCTCTCCTCAGTCTAGGTAGCAGGAAACAAGGTCTCACTGTGGCCTGGAAGACACCAAGAGCTCCAGCTCTGCCCCAGATGGCCGCTGGTAACATGCCAGCCTGCCCCTCCCCTGTCGGCCTGAGACTTCCACCAGTAGGAGCAAGCCACAGATATCCCATAAAATAGGGCTGCCTCTAGAGGGCGCCGTGGTGACAGACATCTGGCTTTCCCCAAGTCCTGCTCTGTTGTGTGCCATCAGTCCATTCTGATTCGGACTCAGCAACCCTATAGGACAGAGTAGAACCGCCCCATATTGATTCCTACACTGTAATCTTTTTGGGAGCTGATCGCCAGGTCGTTTCTCCTGCCGAGCTATCGGTTAGCAACTGAATGCTTAACCGTTGTACCACCAGGACTCCTTAGTCCTGTTCTACACACACCCAAAATTTGACTGGGTTGTTTTCCTTTCTCGAACTGGATGATAATTTTACCAAGTGGAAGCATTGGTTTAGTTTCCTGTTACCTGTCTCAGCTTCTACTGAAATAAGTTTAAACCCCCCCTAAAAATTGCCCTCACTCCCCTAGAGTATGGCCCCCAGACACCCTTACAGCTCAGTAACGGAGTCACTCCCGAGGTTCACCGTTCAGCCAAAGATTAGACAGCCCCATAAAACAAAAAGAGACTAATGGGGCACAACAGTCCAGGGACAAAGACTAGAAGGCAGGAGGGGACAGGAAAGCTGGTAATAGGGAACCCAAGGTTGAGAAGGGACAGTGTTGACATGTCGTGGGGTTGTTAACCATTGTCATAAAACAGTATGTGTACTAACTATTTAACGAGAAGCTATTTGTTCTGCAAACCTTCATCTAAAGTACAATAAAAAAATAAAATAAAATAAATTCCCCTCACCAGGATAGCAGGTCTGTGCGGCAGTTCAGGCCAGGAAGACTTGAAAACAGAGGACGCTATCTGGCTCCGAGCTCCTGTGATGCCCTGAGCACAGGTCTGCGGAAAAACCAATCTTCCCACCCCATGCCCTTTCCACAGAAGGCAAACACCTGCTACCCACAAATCATCCATCCCAGGGCTGGAGGTTGTGGGGAGGAAAGGAAGTGGGGAGGAAAGGAAGTGGGGAGCAGCTTGTGTTCAAGGCCAGTGACTGCGCCACCTGCAGACCTGGATTCAGGTAACTTTTGTTTTAAGGAGAGGGCAAGAGGTGTGGAGAAGCTCTTCCCTGGGGCCTGAGTGGGTGTTGGGGGAGGGAGGTGCCCTGGGCCAGCCTGGGCCCAGGACCCATGGGGCAGAGTTGCCTGCTGGTTTTGTAATAAACATATTTGTTTCCTGCTTCAGAGATGTGGCCCCCTTTTTCACATATAGAGATGGAACTGGTTAGGGTATGTACCAGGGGAAACTGTGGGTCAGGCCAGACCCTGCCACCGGGCCTTTGGAGGGGCAAGCGCAGAAGAGGGATAGGGTTCCTCCTCCTCGGTAAGCTCCCTCATCTATGTCCCACCCCTAAGCCAGCAAGCTCTGGCTGCAGTCTGTGCTGCTGAGGTCTCCACTCCCAGCCTTTGCACCTCCAGCTGGTCTTCTGCTGGGACAGCCCTGCCCTCCTCCATCTGGTTTGCTTGGATAACACCAACCACCACCGCCATGTCAGACTCAGCCCCTGTACCTCCTTGCTTGGCCCCATGGCTGCCCCGCCCTGAGGGCTGAGCACTCCCTTTCTTTCCAGACCCCCTCACTCTCCACTTCCAAGCCACACCTCTTGTCCCACTCTATGCTCTATCCTAGCCACATTATTTCCTCTACGCCCACCTGCTACTCAGTACAGGATAGCTCACTGAGCCAGCTACACCCAGGAGCCAGTGGGGAGCTGTCCTCCTTCTACTCTCCTAGAAACATTGCTGGCAGGGATGTAGGATGGGACAGCCACTGTGGAAAACTGTTGGTGGTTCCTCAAAAAAGAACTACCGTGTGACCCAGCAATTCCACTCCTAAGAGTATACCCAAAATAATTAAAATACATGTTCACACAAACACTTGTACCCAAATATTCACTGCAGCACTATTCACAATAGCCAAAAGGTAGAAGCAACCCAAATGCCCATCAACAGATGAACCTGATAAATAAAATGCGGTATATACGTATAATGGCGTTTTATTCAGCCATAAAGAGAAATGAAGTTCTGATACATGCTAAGACATGGATGAACCCTGGAAACATTATGCTAAGTGAGAGGGGAAAAAAACAACAGTTGCCTTTGAATTGATTCCGACTCATGGTGACCCCACGTATGCGGAGTAGAACTGTTCCGTGGGGTTTTCAAGGATGTGACCTTTCGGAAGAAGATCATCAGGCCTTGCTTCCAAGGTGCATCTGGGGGTTTGAACTGGCAACGTTTCAGTTAGTAGTTGGGCACTTCACCATCTGTGCCATCCAGGGACTGCTGAGTGAAAGAAGCCGGGTACAAGAGGCCAAGTATTGTATAATTCCATTGATATGAAAAATTCAGAATAGGCAAATTCATAGAGACTGAGGATAGATTGGTGGTTACTAGGGCTGGGTGAAGAGGGGGGTGGGGAGTGACTGCTTAATGGGTCCAAGGTTTCTATTTGGGGTGATGGAAAAGTTCTGGAACTAGATAGAGGTGATAGTTGCACAGTATTGTAAATACATTGTTGTTGTTGTTAGATGCTGGTGAGTTGGTTCCAACTCATGGCGATCCTGTGTACAACAGAATAAAATGTTGCCCAGTCCTGCACCATCCTCACAATCATTGCTATGTTTGAGCCCATTATTGCAGCCAATTATAAATATACCAGTACTCAATGCCACTGAGTCGTACAATAAAATGGTTTTAATGGTAAATTGTATGTGTATTTCACCACAATTAAAAAAAAAAGAAAGAAAAAGCTAGGGAGGACAAAAAGAATCCAGGAACCAAATTGAAGGCACTCCCACTGGACAAATCTTGGACACCTGGGCACCCAATAAATAATGATAGTAATGGATTAGAACCCATTGACCAAAGTAAGAAACCATGAGGTCATCGTGAGATAAGTAAGAAAATGGAGAAGACGGGAAGCTCATCCTTCCAATAGAACTTCCACTAACTAATGTACCAAGGATGATAGAACTAGAACATTGCCGTTACACAACCACTAATAATTCTTGTTTCAGGCAAGAATCATCAATGGGTGAAAGTTGGATGAGAAACAGGATATTTACATGATCTCAAAGCATCTCTCCACAAGATATGCATTTATTACTACAGGGGAAAAAATGCCAAACACAAATTCAATTTAGAAAATTACTTTAAAGCATAGCATTCATATAATGCTATCTAGTACTGTCCCAGCCCCGTGAGGTAGGTCCCCACAGGCCCATCCCACAGACCAGCAAGCTGAGGCTCAGAGGGGAATCAGAAAAGGCAGAGAGCTGGGATCGGGGCCAGGCAGTCCTGGGTTTGCTGGGGTCTGTGGAGGCAGCTGTGCAGCAGGCAGGGCTGGGCAGGCATGGTGGGACGCTGGGCTCCTAGAGTGCTGGTCCCAGAGGTGCTTGGTCAGGGCGGGGCTGGAGGAGGGATCTTGGCACCTTATATCATTGATAAAGTAGATGGGTGGTGTTACACGTGTCACCTGAACCGTGACCCTGTCTTTCTCTCTGCAGCAGAGTTGCAGCCAGCCCCAGGCAGGTCCCCACCAAGCTTTCCTGGCGCCTGGGTGCTGCCCACACAGAGAGGAGCAACCACTGTCATCCTCGTGACTCCAGGCCTATCTCCATATCTAGGTCCTGGGGCGTTAAGCAGCTGGCTGTGTCCTCTCTCACCGTCTCCTCCACAGCCACTGTGGTGACATCTAGCCCAACCTGCAGGGCCTCCGAGACTGTAGTGTCCCTTTCAGCATCTCGTCTTATCCACCTCTGCAGAGAAATTCAGCATGAGACAAAGCCCACCATGGCTCCCCCAGGGCCTCATGCTGCTCTATCCCTAATGTGAGGAGGTGTGTGCCCCCACCCAGGATAGCATGGCAGCAGACAAAGTACCAGGACCCTCAGGGAACTGGGGGCCACCCCACCCTTAGCAATATCCCCTCCAATAGCAGTGAGGGAGCAATACCTGGAAAAAGGACATCCTCTTGGCCAGACCCCCTACAACGCAAGGGACACAGACATCAGGGTGGGGCTGGAGCATAGGATCCAGGTGGCAAGGGTGGCCAAGCTGGGGGATTAGAAGGCGGGGTGGGGCGGCAAATAGCAAGGAAGGGGATCAGAGAGAGTTGGGGCGGGGGACAAGACAGCCCTGGGAGGGCACTCCGGCTCCTCACAGGGTGACCTTTCCCAGGAGACTGAGCCTCTCTGGGACAAGTGAGACCACATATAGACCCGGGCCTTGTGACCTAGGACCCCCAGGAGTGAGGAGAGAACATGAGGGGCACCCTGCCCTCCTCTCCCAGCTGCTAATCTCCGCGCCCATAATTTACTTGAATTTAACTGTTTGTACAGGGTGGGGAAAGGGGAGACCCTTCATACAGACAAGGGCTCCCTGCCCCACCCCAGGAGCAGGGGCCCAAGAGAGGTGTGAGAAGGGACACAAAGCCTCATCTCCCAGCCTGCCTCAGTTTCCCTAAGACCCTGAGAATCTCCCTGCACCAAGGGACTCAGAGTCTCCTGACACCAGGGCCCCAGAATCTGCTCCCTTTGGGTTCCATGACTCAGTGTCCCTCCGTCTGAGGCTGAGAATGAGCTTCCACTAACATCAGAGCTGGTTTAGGCAGCTCCAGTTCCCAGCACCCAGCTTGGGGCTGGCCCAGAGCAGAAGCCCAGGTCCGGATGGGTGAGTGGACATGTGAGCAAGCAAGTGACACTTGTCGTATCCGTGGGGAGACAGCCTTGTTCTTGCAGTGTGTCCTTCCCAGCCCTGGAGCCTCCTACAGCTGAGCACAGCCTGCCCTGTGTGTCCCCTGTCCATGCACAATGCAGAGGGGGCAGGTGAATGGCCGTGAGCCAGCCCTGCCCTCTGTCCTCCACCCAAGCCCTGCATAGCATCTGGGCTCGGCCAGCAGGAAGCCCATCTCCCTGGGCCCGCGGCAGCCATCTCTGAGGAGGACCCTTTGGGTCCTGGAAGTGCTCCTGGGGCTCCGCCCTCCCTGGCTTCAGTGGGACGGTATGAGACGGGTTAAGAGGTACGACCGCTGGGACTGGGGCCCCGTTCCTTGGATGGGTGCTGCTCACCAGATGGCCTTTTCTGTTTCTTCAGGTACCAGATCACGAGGCCAAAAATTATAACACAAGGGATGCTGAGGCCCAAAATAAGACTAAGCCAGGAGAAGCATGCACCTTCAGTGGTACAGGTTCCAGGCCTGGTTTCCGTCTCCAACCAGCCACTGCAGCTAGGGGAGAGGAGGGAGAGGCTGTGAGGGCCAGCCTGCCAGGAGCCCACCACATGGGGGACAGTTTCCAGTCATGGGGGAGGGCCGGGGGGGCTAAGGGCTTGCCCCGGAGGCTCCGTGACCAGGGACTCTGGGAGGTGAGCTTGGGTCTGTCCAGCCTTTCCAGACCTGCCATGGGGAGACAGAGAGGGAAGGAGAAGAGAAACTCAGAGGGTGGGGGAGATGGGCCAGCTGAGAGGGAGTGAGGAGAGGGGGAGGAAGGCAAGGAGGCCAGAGGGCCAGAGACCCCCTTGCTTGGAGAGTGGTGGCTGGACAAGGAGGAGGAGGGGGTGGGGGAAGAGGAAGGGGAAGTGGAGCCTGGTCAGGGTGGGGTGTAGTGCAAGCCGAAGGACATGGGAAGACTAGGGTAGGAGAGAGGGGCAGAGAAGGACCCAGAGGTGGGATGGAGGGGGCTCCCTGCACCCTCAGGGACTCTGAGTGCTCATTCAGCTCTGGGGCCCAGGGATCTGCATTTATGGGGTCTTGCACAGGAGGATGAGGTCCTCGCTTTGAGAACCTTGCCTTAGCAGCCCCTAACTCCAGAAACTCTGTAGCCCCTTGGCCTTGACACCAGGACACCCCAGAGCCTCAGAGCATCTCTCCAGGCCAGCTCCAGGTCAGCTCCAGGTCAAGTGCATCCCTTAGCCCCAGGGAAGCCAGGCTCTGCTGACACTGGGGTTTTGGCCTGACAGGAATGCTGTCTGTGACCACAGGATCCAGCCCAAGGAGACACCCCTGGAAGCCGGCACATCATGTGGCCAGTGGGGCATTCAGGTCTCTCTGCAGGGGGCCCTTCAGGGGGTCTGGCCTGAGACCACCCAGGTAACCTACTTGGTCGAGGGCTGACACTCTTCCAGGGTCTCCAGGGGAGAGAAGGTCCCAGGCGGGCAGTTGTTACACCCTGTATCCTTCTTCTCAGAGCCTGGGAAAGCAGGGGGCAGGGGGCTGAGGGGCCAGGCAGGAGGGCAGGTGGCTTTCTTGCCCCTCCCCAACCCCTCTGCATAGGGTCTGGGTCTGTCTCTTCCTCTGGGGTCTGCAGAAGGAGATGGAAGGCTGAGGTGGGCTGCCCCCAGGGAGGACCTCAGAGGCGGGGCCTGGGTGGTGGGCTCTGAACATCCTGGAGATGAAGTGGCTGGGATTTCAGCGTCCAGGGTTCCTTCGCACTGTCATCTCACAGGTGTGAAGGGAGGTGGCCTCATGCTGGGTGCCCGGCCGGGAGCAGGACTTGGACCCCACAGACCCCTGCCTGCGGTCTGGCTGAAATCAAGCACTGACTACAACCACATGACTATGAATCCTGGCCACGACCTGGTGTGAGGCTGGGGCTGTGAAGGGTAGGCATGGGGCAGAGGGGGTCACAGTGACCGGCTTCTGCTGACCCCTTGCCAAGAAAACGGGGGATGGGTGTTCAACCTCTGCCAGCTCACCTTTCGTTTCCAGGGGCTGGCACATGGCACAGGGGTCTGTGTCCTCTCTCACGCATAAGTGGTCCCGGGGGCAGCCACACTCAGTGTCCTTTATGGTGGAGCACTTCTGCCGGGTCTCGAGGCCCATGGCTGCAGGTCCAAGAGAAGGAGCTCACGGTAGTGGTGAGCTCCCCATCCTTAGAGGGGAACAAGGGAGGCGCCAAGCACCGGCAGGCCTGGGAAAAGGGAGAAGGGGCTCCTGCCCGGCTCTGGGAAAGAGCTGAGTAACAGAGCACCAGCCAGCTTTGCAATCCTGGCATTTTTGTGTCTGGGCCCTGGGCCCCTGCCAGGCTGCACCCTTGGTGCCCAGAGGTGCCCGACATAGGTCCCTCGGTCTGAATTCCAAAGGGGCTCCCAGACACAGCAGCAGGGGTGGGAGAAGTATTGATGGGGGGCCTTGGGAGGGTCTTCTTAACAGGGGAGCCTGCCTCATGAGAAATCTGGGACTCCTTGTGGCTCAACAAGGCCCAGATCAGCACACATAGGAAGCTGAGAACAGCACTGTCAATTAAGCGTGTGGAGGGGAAAGGAGGCAGTCAGGTGACAGGAATAGAGAGCCTCCCTCCTTCAGCCATGTGAGGTGGGGTTGCAGCTGGGCTGGCACCCCAACCAATCAGTGAGGAGCTTTCTTAAGGGGGGAGGTGGGCAGGAAATGTGGGTGCAGCTCAAAGCCCTGAGCCCCTAGTCCTCATCTCACCTGAACCCCAAAAGCATTCCTGCCTCCATTGTCCAGGCCCTTGCTCTTCTGGAAACCCTTCCTTGCCAGCCTGCCTGCTCCTGGCTCTCCCTGGGGATGTGGCTGCACTGTCCCCGGTGAGCTGGACAGCAGGGGTCACAAAGGTAGGTAGAGTTGTTGCAACGGCCCAGGCATTGGATTACTTGATGGAGGCTGGGGGTGGGGCATGTAACTGGCCTGGCGGCCTGGGGACTGGTCTTTCATCCACGTCTAGATTTTCCTCTCCCCTTTTCAGTCCTTACCCTCCTCATACCTGTTTGCCCTCTCCAGGAAGTAGGACTCACTCCCAATCATGTGTCTATAGTCATGGGCAGGGTAAGGGCAGTGTCTGGAAGGAGGTGATCTCGGTTTCAGTCTGGATCTGCCATTGACCTGCAAGTGCTGTGGGTGACTTAGCAGATCTCTGGGTCTCAGTTTCCCCATCTATGAATGGGGGTGGTTGCGCCTGCCCTGTTTCTTCGTGGAGTGAGGGACTAAGCAGATGATGACCAGGCAGATTGTGGGCTACTGGTCATGAGGCCTCATCTATGATGATGTCTGGGGCACTCAGTGATATTCGGAGATGTGGGCATTAGTCACGGAGGCTTCCTGGAAATGCAGTGGGGTTGGAGCCCCAAACCCCACCTGTTGGCTCTCCCCGCTGCAGCCTCAGCACACAGTCAGTGCTTCTAAGACACTTCACCAAAGTCTGACCTTCCCCTCCCCTGTCTGACTCAGACCAGGTGAGAGCCAGCCTTCCCAGGTGACCCCTTCCCCTGGGGACCACAGGAGGAGCCCAATTTGGAAGAGAAAGGGGAGAGGGGCCACACTGGGGAAACAGCCACATCTCCCAGTGTCATTGTGTGCCTCCCTAGACCTTGAAGTATGCCCAGCACTGGCCAAGACCCCACTTCACAGTTAAGAAAACTGAGGCACAGGAGAGGTCTATACAACCCACTCAAGATCACATAGCTAGCGACAAAAAGCCGAGGTTGAATGCAGACAGTCTGAGTCCTAAGCTTGTGAGCAGTGTACCTCAGGGGTGCAATGTGTGTTGGGGTGCTGTGAGGGGATGTTATGGGTTGAATTGTGTTCCCCAAAAGATTTGTCAAAGTACTAATCCCTGTACCTGTGAACGTGACCTTGTTGGGAAACAGGGTCTTTGAAGACATTATCAGTTAAATTAACATGAGGACATACTGGAGTAGGGAGAGTCCTAATGCAACATGAGTGGTGTCATTATGAAAGAGGAGAAGAGAGACAGAAAGGGAGATGGCCATATGACAACAGAGACAGATTGGAGTGATGCTGCCACAAGCCAAGTATTGCCAGGAACCACCAGAAACTGGAAGAGGCAAGGAAAGATCTTCCTCTAGAGCCTTCAGAGAGAGCATGAACCTCTGCCACCTTGATTTCAGACCTCTAGACTCCAGAACTATGAGAGAATACATTTGTATTATTTTAGGCCACCTAGTGTGGTATTTTGTTACACCAGCTCTAGGAAATGAATGCAAATTTTGGTACTGGGAGGTGGGGTGCTTAAGCAGCAAATATTTAAAAATGTGGATTTGGCTCCTGAATTTGGTAATGTGTAGCAACCAGAAGAATTTTGAGGCACTTGATAGTAAACACTTAGATTCCCTTGAAGACACTGTTGATAGAATTATGAACGTTAAAGGTGATTCCTTTTTGGGTTAAAAAAGAAGTAAAAGCAACTGAAAAGAAATTTTCTATTGACTTAGGGAATACATATATTGTCACGAACACAGTGTTTCTAGAAATATGAATGCTAAAGGTGCTCCTGATGAGGACTTAGAAGAAAATGATGAACATGTTATTGGACACTAGAAGAAAGGCAGTCCTTGTTATAAAGTGACAGAGAACTTGACCATTGGGTGAAAAGTAGAACTTGTAAGCAATGAACTTGGATATTTAGCTGAGGAGATTTCTAAGAAAAGCGCGGAAGGTGCAGCTTGGTTTCTCTCGTTACTCATAATAAAATGTGAGAGGAAAGAGATAAGTTGAAGAATGAGCTGTTCAACGAAAAGGAACAAGAATTTGAAGATTTGGAATATTTTCAGCCTCCGCATGTTGTAAAAATTGAGAAAGCGTGTTCTGGAGAGGAAACAAAAAGCATGGCTGAACAATCATTTGCTAAAGAGATTAGGCATGGGACTTAGGGATTCAATCAGCCATCTCAGCAGGGCCACCACATTATGTGCCCAGAGGACAGACCATCCAGCCAGGGGATTATTCTGACCCCTTGAAATCCAATGGAATTTGTCCTACTGGATTTTTGAAGTGCTTAGAACCTATGACCCCCTTTTTCCCTCCAATTTCTCCCCTTTGGAATGGGAATGTCTATCCTATGCCTATCCCATCATAGGTTTTTGAAAGCAGATAACGCATATGCTAGTTTTCACAGGCCAACAGATGGAGAGTAATTTTGCTCCAGGCTGGACCATACCTAGAGTCTCACCCAAACCTAATTTAGATGATTTAGAAGGTGAGATTTTTTTTACTTAGAGTTGATGCTGAAATGGGTTAAGACTTTGGGGGTGCTGGCATGGGGTGAATGTATCTGTATATGGCAAGGTCATGAATTTCAGAGGGCCAGAGGGTGGACTGTTATGGATGGAATCGCGTCCCCAAAAAAAGATGTGTTGAAGTCTTAACCCTTGTACCTGTGAATGTGAATTTGTTTGGAAATAGGGTCTTTGAAGACGTTATCAGTTAGCATGGGGTCATACTGGAGTAGAGTGGGTCCTAATCTAATATGGGTGATTTTCTTATAAAAAAAGAAGAGACACAGAGACAGAGAGAGAAGGCGACCATGTGAAGATGGAGACAGAGACTGGAGTGATGCATATAGAAGCCAAAGAATACCAAGGATTGCCAAGATCAACAGAAGCTAGGAAGAAGCAAGAAGGATCTTAGAGACTGCGACTCTGCTGACATCATGAGTTTGGACTTCTGGCCTCCAGAACTGTAAGATAACAACTTTCTGTTGTTTTAAGCTACCCAGTTTGTGCTACTTTCTTATGGCAGCCCCAGAAGCTCAGAAAGGGGCCCTGAGAACCTTCACTCTGTGGGTGGACAAGGCCTGGCCCCCAGAGACCCAAGCTGAGGAAAGGCAGGGCCTAGCCCTCTTGCTCATTGCGTTTGCCCCAGGATTGGGATGCCCTTGCAACAGGACACAGTCCTTGGGCTCAAGAAGTCTTCAGATGACAGAGTGACAGGTGGGGGCCTAGCCCTCCTCTGGAGGGGATACAGGCCAGGATAGGTCTGAAAGCTCCACTGATGGTTCCCCTCCTAGGAGATGAGGATGAGTCCTGGCCTAAGGGCAGGCCAAGGGGCACTGGAGGGGAGTTTCTGGGTTTAATGGGGAATGCAGGGTGCTCGGGCCAAAGGATGGAGCTGGTCAGCTGCAAGGGCCATGTAGGGGTCAGGCTCCTACCTGGGTTACAGATTCGGCACCGCAGACACTCTGTTAGGCCATTGAGGTGGGCCGTGTAGGTCCCCGGGAGGCAGGGTACACACACTGTGCCAGTTGCCTCATCACAGGCTTGCTTCACCCGGTAACCTACAGGCCATGAGAGACAACTACAGATCTCAGGCTGCAGAGGGCCCTGCTGAGCCACCCATTGTGCCTGCCTTCCCCAACCATAGAGGCCCTGGGGGTCAGACACCATCCCATCAACCAGGTCTCAAAGACACTTGAGCTGCCCCCTACCCAACACCTGCCTGCTGTCTCCACAAGTGTGCTGTGAGAAGAATGGGCAGGCCTCCTGGGCACCTGGCCTGGCTCTGCCATCTGTGCCTTCTCTGAGCCTCAGTCCCCTGCCATAAGTGGGCTGGCTCAGTCCCCAGGGCCACCTCCCTGTGCAGAGTGCCATGAGTGTTATGTGGGGGTGAAGATTTGAAGCTGCAGGGGGCTTCCCTGGTGGGCTCAAGCCCTGAACCTGTCAGCGCCCACTCCACCCGGGGCTTCATACCACCCATGAAGCCAGCACAGTACACGGAAGAGGGGCTCCAGGCTGGGGTAATGGGGGGAGCATCTGCCCACGCACCCTGCCCCAGTGCCAACGCTTTTATCGGCTCCCCTGAGCTGGCCTCCAGAGCCAACCTACCTGGGCTACACTTGGGGCAGCACTCAGTGCCCACCGGGTACTCCTCCTCTTTGCAGAGGGGCAGCGACAGGGTGAAGTGGCAGGGTACCAAGAGGAGGAAGTACAGTGCCTAAGGGGGAATAAGACAGGCATTGGAGGGGTGGAAGGTCGAGCAGCCTCCTATACATCTGGGTGCAGACATTGCCTCTCAGCCTCAGTCTTTCCCTCTGAGAAATGGGGAAGCAGCACCAGCCCCGCAGAGCAGGCAGGGCCCTGGTGGGGGTGAAAGGATGGGCCCAGACCATTCTCTGGAATGACTGAGGAGGGTACCGGAGCCTGGAGCCGGGGCACAGGAGCCGGCCCCTCGTCCTCCGCCCTCGGCCCACCGGTCCGCATGGGAGGCCCTGAAGACTGGTCCCTGTCCTTGCCTGGGTCCCTGCAAGCCCTGAGCCACACAAGGTGGACACCTGAACTCCCTCGTCACTGTCCTGTGCTGGCCCTGCTGACCCTGGGCACCTAGCAGAGTGAGAGCAGGGGCTACCCTCAGAGCTCACAGGCCCAGAGCAAGAGACAGGCTGGTAACAGGCAGGACAGATCAGGGCCATTGAGGGGGACAGAGGGAGAGGCAGGAGGAACAAGGAAGGAACCCTTGTCAGGGAGCATGGCCATGCTTATCTCTGCAAACAGGGCTGCAGGCAGAGACCAGGCCATCTACCTACAGTGCCCACCAGAAGGCACCACTCAGCTTAGCGCTCCCCTCCAGCCGCCCGGCCCCGGCCCCCCCCCCCACTCTGCAGGGTCACCAGTCCCTGGAGGGGCATCGACTGGGAGAATCTCCCTGTCCTGTCTCCATGGGGGTGGGGGGGCCAGGTCCGTCTGGATAGCTAGGCAGCTGGGGACAAAGTCCAGTTGATAGTGGAGGGGATCTGCAGAGAAGGGCTCCGGCTGGGGCAGCCCTGTAACTTACCAGTCTCAGGATGTCTGGCTGGGGTGCGGGGCTCCCGGGGAAAGACTCCCAGCCCTGCAGAGGCTCCATGTCCCTCCTCAGCCCCCCTCAGCCCCTGGCTACCCGTCTTGGACCCCCGGTTGCACAACAACCTCCAGAATTCGACGTCCTCGCCGCCATTGTAGACCAAAGTGAAAGTAAAAGAGAACCTTTAGGGGGAGGTCCACCTTCACGGTTAGCCGGGAGGGTGTGACGTCTCAGGGCTTTGCACCCCAGGTCCAGGGCTGAGGGGGGACAGGAGCTGACTGTAACCCGTGGGGAGAGCTGTGCAAGGCTGGGTGGCAGGTGGAACCTGGGAAAGGATGGGGCGGGGCAGCCATGGAGGGAGGGGAGGAAAGCATGCAGACCAGAAGAGGAAGTGAGGGTGGTCCCAGAGACAGCAGCTGCAAAGCCTGGAAGGGGGACTCCAGCCGTCACAGCCTGCCGACCCACTGAGCAGCTCTCTGCGCCATGGGCACTGCCACCCTGCCCTCCCCTCTCTTGCACCATAGTGGCTGGTTTCTGGGTTTCCAATAGAAGTGGGTGACCCAGGGCCTCCCAAAATGCGTCTGTATCCCCCACCTCCACCCCGCTGTGCACACCCAGAGGGCACCTGCCTGCCCACCCCTCTCATGGACCGATGCGGTCACTGAATGGAGCCCTTGTCTTGCTTTCTTGTACCTGTGTCAGCTTCTACTGAAATGAGGTAAAAGTCCCCTGCAGGGTAAAACCCCACTTCTGCCAAGCCAGTCTGGGGCATTTCCCCACCTTTGCTGGAGACAGGCTGGGTTCCACTGCACTGTCCTCTGAGCACAGCCTGTCCCTGGGGTGCCTGGATGGGGGACCACCCTCAGAGCCCACTGGGCCACGCGTGGGAGAACACTCATGGAAATGAGGGAGGAGGGAGACAGTTTTCCATCCTTGAGCGCCCAGAGGGGCTCTCCCAGGGTCCATAGCCCCACTTGTCCCCTGGGAGGGAAGTAGGGCAGGGTAATTCTTGGGCCCATTTCACAGATGGGGAAGTGAGGGTTCAGAAAGGGATAGGGTCTTGCCCAAGGTCGCCCGTATGAAACTGCTTAGACCCAAAACCCAACCTTCCCCTCACCGGTCTGCCTGGTCCCCACTAGGCTCCCCAGCACCACAGCCACCTCCTCAGAGCAGGCAGACCTGGGGGAGATCACCGGGCGCCCTGCAGAGGCAGGCTTGGGGGGCTCATGAGAGGTGGCCCGCCAGGCCCCTGGAGCTCCTGATGGACCAAAAGTCAGATGTCTGGGTTCAAGGCCCTCCCAGTCCTGTAAATGGGTGAGTCAGCACCCCACATGGTCAGCACACTCCCCAACATTTAAAACCACAGCCCCATGTGATGAGCACAGAAACCTCTCTAGCTTCTTCAATGCTGCGTGACATTTCAAAACCCACTGTGACTGAACGGGGCATTTCCATCTAATCAAACCTGTCCCCACGCTGATGTACTGTGCCCAGCTCCACAGCCCCAGGCAGGGTCCCCTCGGACCCCCTCAGACCATCCCTTGCTGAACCCAGCACACCCCTCCAGCAAGCCCATCTACTGGACGGCCAGGCCAGGATGGACCTGGAGCCCTGCCCAGCAATCCTGTGGAAGGAACAAGGGAGGGGAAAATTCACGTGGATTGGGGTGGGGAATACTCACGGTCCCCAGTGCTCACAGGCAGGGTCCACTCATTGGCCACACCCCCCAGGACGAGCCCAGTCTTGCAGACCCCAGTGCAGGCCAGGTGCCGGCAGCTCTACCCAGATGCCCAGGCGGCAGGCTCTGCCCTGTGCTCTGAGGCAGGGTAGGGAGATCAGGTGGTAACCAGGGGCTTCAGACTCAGGTGAGACACCCACCAGGGCCCAGCCCACACCTGTTTCCAACCGAGAGGGCTTGGGGAGATGATCCCACCCCTCTATGTCCCCAGTACCCTCATCTCCACACACACAGCACTGTGGGGAAGTTTCCTGTGAAGAGGATGGGCACCTCCTCTCCCTCCATCCTCCCCTCAGCCCTTGATGGCCCCAGGGGAGCGCTCTAGGAACCCAAAAAGCAGACAGGCCCAGGGTCTAGGAGTGCTGGGGCCCCCACTGCTCCCTGCTCACATCCCACGGGAGCCTCACTGAACCCCACTGACTCCCAACTCCCAGGGGCATTCCTCTAGGTGGAAGATGGCACTCCCAGGAGGACTCCCACCCACACTCCCATGAGGTACACCCTCAAAGAGCGTCTCATCTACCCACCGCCCTGGACAAGGGGGAAACTGAAGCACAGAGGGGGCGGGACTTAACCAAGTCACTCAGTGCATCTCAGCTAGAACTTGTAGGATGCACAGCAAACTCAGCCCCTCCTCCACTTTGCCCCCTTCCCCTCCCTCACCCACACCCCTGTATCCCAGACTCAGGGTTTTCAAGGTGTTTGGCAGGTGCTGGGTCTCTTGGGGCGAGGAGGCCATCTCTGATTGCTGCAGTTAGTAGCGGCCCCCTAGCTCTCCCCACCCCCACTCCCTCACCTGACGACCCATCACCCATTTCTCTCTTTAGACAGTTCACAACTTGAGCAAGCTGGGGGAGGGGGGGCAAGAAGTTTGTCTCCATCAGAGCCAGAGGACAAAGGCTTGGACTCCAGTCCCCATCTCTCATTTATTCGTTCATTCGCTCACTCATTCATTGCCTCTGGATGCGGAGCCATGACAGCAACATAATCAGATAGAACGGTCCCAGGTTATCCCCGAGCCCAGTGGCAGCCCAACACTGTGCCCAGGCACCCGTGCTTACTACGGTGCCCACCCAGAGGATCCTGCATAGTGCCCACCTCACCCTACCCTCGGGGGCCCAGTGGAGGGCCAGGCAGAGGTTTGGGAGGGCATTCTGTGCATGCCACCCACGCAGATGGGGAGACTGAGGCCTCAGGGGTTGGACACAGGAATTCTGACCCGGGGGCTGGTCCTCTCCTCCCATGCCCCACCTCTCTGCACCCAACAGAAGGGCTTCAAGCAGGTAGGGTCCCCTGAGTCCAGCCCCTATCACCCAGCTGCCTCTGCCGGCCTGTGCCCTCTGAGGGGCTGCCCACACCCACTGCTTAACTCTTCTCCCCCTGACCTTCCTGTCAGGTCAGGACAGTCTCCTGAGGGACTCTTCGGAAATCCCCATCACATTTCCCCTTTCTTCTCCATAGGGAGTTTTCCGAGGTCCTGAGGGTGGGAGAGATTGTGAGGACCAAAGTGCTTGAACCTGAGTCCTGGAAGGTGGCGGGCAGCTGGGGGCCATGGAACCATAGGGCTCAGAGTTGTGAGCCTTCCCGAGGCCCACATCAGAGGCTCCCCTTCCACCCCTCTGTGGTCAGGGCCAACCTCAGCCTCCTCTCAGTTCAACTCCAGTTGGGCCCTGCTCTGAGCCAGCCATAGGCTGGTCAGTGGGGCTCAGAGGCAAAGCGGGCCTGGTCCTTGTCCACAAGTAAAAATACCAGAGTCACATAAGGAAGACAAATCCACAAGCAAAAATTCCAGAGTCAAGTAGTGAGGGCTCTCATATTGGGCAGCAGATGCCAAGTGGGGCTCTGAAGGATGAACAGAAGCCTGTCCATGGACAAGGTGGGAAAATGCTTTCTCTGAGAAGGGGTTCGGGTTAAGCCATGGCCAAAGAGGTACTTGGGATCTGCTCCTGGAGGTACATGAAGAGGGGGAAGAGGTTGATGCTCAGCCAGCCTAGCCAATACTGGAGGGAAGCGGAAGACTCCAGACACGTCCTGTACGCGGGAGACTATGGCAGAGTGGTTATCGGGTTGTGAAAACCACAGTGGACCAGAGTGTGGAGAGGAGGCTTCAGAGGTCACCCAGGTGGACAGGACTGAGAGGTGAGGGATGGGGGGAGGCAAGGAGGGAGCAGAGAGGATGATTCCAGGATGAGGAGGTGGAATCTACAGGACACTGTCACCAGTTCTTCTGGGGCAGGGGTGGGCAGAGAGGATAATGTCTCCATGACCTCATTCTGAGGACAGAAGAGAGCCAGTGAACTGGAGGGTGGTAGTTGGAGGGGGGAGCTCACAGCAGCAGGGGCTTCCCAGAGGCTAAGCTGCCTTCCAGAAAGCCAAACCTGCCGTTGGGGAATAGGATACGAAGACGCCCAGGTGTCATTTCCTGGCCAGGGCATCAGTTCCCTTCTCAGACATGTCTCACCAACACTTTAGACTGCACGTGGTCCAGCCGCCCTCTGGCTCTCCCCCTCAACGTCCTCCAGGAAAGTCCTTACCTGGGGAAGTTTGTCTTCTCCCACTTGAACTCAGGAACCTGGGGCCATTTGTGCTCCAAGACTCACCTCCTTGCACCCCACATCCCAACCCCCTTCTGGGCTTGGAGACACTGCCTCCAGAAAGTTCCTCAAACTCTCTCCTTCCAGGCACTTACCTCCTCCCCAAGCCCTGTTACCCCTCAGCAGCCTCCCACCTGGACCCCCCTCCCACTCTTGCTCCCCTACTCTCTACTGTCCAGGCAGCAGCTGGGGGGAGCTTTTCAACTGTAAATCAGACCAAGTCACCCTTCTCCCTGCAGCTTCTGGTGCCTTACACCAGACTCCCAATCAGACCCTTACTTGCCTCCCAAATCAGTGTCTGCTCTCTCTCTCTGCCCCAGCCACGCTGGCCTCCTTCGGATCCCTGGTTGTGTCAAGCTCCTGTCCATTCCAGAGCCTTCACACATGCTGTGCCTGGAATGCTGTTCCCCGTTGGCTCTCCTTGTTCTTCACTAACAATAACACCTCACACCCATGCAGTGCCTCTAGGCACCAGGCATTCTCTAAACCTTACACAGATCTATGCTCTCTTAACCCTCACAGCGACCCTATGTGAGTACACAGTAATAACTGCAGGAGCCATCAATAGCCCCGCCTTACAGGTGAGGAAACTGAGGCACAGGGAGCTGAGTGTCATGCAAAAGCCATACCATCAGTAGAGCAAATGAGCCTTTGACCTAAGCTCTGGTTCCAGAGCTCTTAACCACTACCTTACACTGCCTCCCGGGTTTCAGCTCAAGGAAAGAGTTCTGGAAGACTAATTGAAGCTGAGAGGGGTCCTCCCATCCCTGGTTCAGTAGAAAAATGGATGACCCTAGCCTCAGAATGGGACTGGCACCCAGGGGAGAGGCCAAGTCTGCTGCACCATGAAAGCCTTTGGGAGCATCAGGTGTCTCCAGCCCCCAAGGTGGGCAGGCAGGGGCTGGGGACCATCTGCAGAGAGAAGGAAGAGGAGGATCAATGTGGATATCTGGAAAAGGAGAAAAGGAAGAGAAAATAGCTAAAGAGGCCAAAAGAAAACACAAGTGGACAGAGTCACTGGAGACAAGGGAGGAGAAAGTTCCTAGGGAGGGGTGCTTGGCAAGGTCAAGATGGCATACAGTAGATGCCCAATAAAGACTTAGAAATTGTTAACTAAGCAAAAT